CCCAAACTCCAAAAGCTCTGCGGACTATCAATACAAGTAAGGAGGGAGAAGAGCAGAGAGAAGGTACATGAACACAAGGTAACGATTCACAGATAAGGAGAAAAAAAGCAATTCTGCAGAAGCCAAACAGGTATTCTTGCAACTGCAACTCACTTTTCTCTTATGGCTGCAAGCTACAGTGTCAGACACCATAACAGAATATAACAGACATCTCCGGGACGATCTGGCCAAAGCTTCACAGCTGCTGGAGGGAGTTATTGCCACACAGCAGCTGCAGGAGATGCTGCAGATTCATCTGGTGGCCAGAAGGAATGAAAAAGAGTGAGCCAAGAGTAAGCAGAGAAGGAATCTATGTGGGATAGAAAACAGCCATTTGTCCCCTTGCTCTGTTGCTACTGGACCTTCTTATGGGTATCATAAGGATTCAGCAAACTCACTCAAGCCACTTTTTTTTCCTGCTAGAATGTCTGTAATATAAATAGTTAATATCAACAAATCAGACCTATGGAATTAATATGAAAACTTATTTAGCAAAGCTTATCTATAGTCCACATAGACATAGCATGGGTTTGGAAGGAATCCCAGAATTCTGAAAAGGAAAAAACCAATTTTTTTTTTCCAAAGGTTAAGCTAGATCTTTCTCAGCATGTCTTGCTTCCTCTTGGTGTAATACAGTTATATCCCTTGCTCTGGTGGCCTTTAAGCAAGTGTAAAATCTGACTCACTATCACAATCTGTTCCATGAAGAGGATTCTTCCTCTTCTGCTGCCTGGTCTCTGGTGGTAGTAAATATAACTAAGACATTTCTCATTTTTTCTGAGCCAGATTATAACACAAGACCATAGCTTGAACTTTACTGACACACTAGTCAGTGCTGCACTGGATCACATACTGTTTCTTCATCATATAGAAATTAAAAGATGAGATGGTGTTAACAGGTATTTTGATGCAAAGATGGAAACACCTGTGTTTATTCTAATATACTGGAGCAAAACCAACGATAACTATCAATGGATGCTGTTGCTTGCTTTTTTTTTAAGCGGTTTTCCAAAAAAGTATGCTCCTCTGCATAACAGAATAAAGTTTATACAGGCTGGAATAACCATCTCATCAACTATTCTGACTAATCAATCTCATCAACTACCAAACATCATAACACTATCCTTCTTAAATTTAGATTTCCAACTAAATTCAATGCTGTTGACTCCTGGTATCTACCATCATTAAAAATTAGTTTAGGAAAAAGCCTTTTTTATCTATTCTCTCCTCGCTGTTTTGCCATTTCACCTCCTTTGAATTGTTGAGAGCTCTACTAACTTTCCAGTTTTCTGGTATCATAATCTTGAGGTCAATTAACTTTCTCCTATTTCTTTTAATGTCTTTCTCCTCACTAAATCAGTCTTCCTCCCTCCATCCCCCTAGCTTCAAGGAAAAAAAAAAAAAAAAAGGAAAAAGGAAAACGAATTTATTAGCAGAAAAATACAACTTGCAAATTGACCAAACCGCAGCTAATGAATTCTAGAAAAGGACAGATAGTGTATTATGGCAATTGTCTATGAGTATGAGTGAAAACTCCTAATTTCTTTTTTTGGAAAAGGATAAACAGATCAGGCTAAAACTAGACCAAATTTAGAGTCTGTACACAGATGTTTTCTTCATGTTGTACTTTTAAAAATTGTTTTAAAAGCACAGGAGACTGGGAGATCCTGAAGAATTCAGTTAGGAAACATGGTTCAAATTATATCATGGTAGAAGAAAAATAGCACCATCCTAGCAACTTTTATTTTTCAAAATACAGAAGGCATCACTTCAATATTAGATATGCTTACTCCCACATTGGAGACAACCTATTTTAAACTTTCCTTCCATCCCTGATATCAGAATTTCCTCTTCCTGCAGATAGCTGCAGATTCCTGCCTCTGAATCTGATGGCAGAACACTCTCACCAAAGATAAACCTGCAGATACACTAGCAGAAGAAAACTGAAATCTTTGCAATTTACTATATTAATTTAGTGGGAGGTTTGACAACTACAAATTGACTAGTCTGATTTTTTTTTTTTGTCTATTGATCCAGACCAGTGAGTGTCCACAGTGTGAGGAAAAGATTGCTGGTAAGGAAACCAGTTTTCTTCTTCTCACAGACAAATATCCACTGGTCTGTATGTTACTCATGCAACAGACAAAGCACTATTAGAATCAGGTCAGAATCTTCAAACACGATGCAACTGAAATTCATTTAGGAGAACAAAAGTAAGAAAACTACTTAATAGCTTATTTCTGTAATTTTTATTTCATTTGCTCGCATAATTTAGGTCAAATGAAGTTCAAAGGAACGAAATGCCCATCAACAACAACGAACGTGTCAGCCTCGCAGAGCTAGAACAAACTGCAAGTGTGAAGTGGCTGTACTACAAATCTCATTCTGCAGTGTTTCTCTGCTCAAGGTTTTAATGCAGGTTATCATAGTTTGATGCCACTCGAAAGACTCTCAATACATTCTTAGGATGTTACATGGTGGAACTGATGCACTTAAAGATTCAACAGTTACACAGTTCACAAATGTCTGACTTCCTTTTCCCCAATCAGCAAACACATGATGGATTATAAAGAACATTCCACCCCCTAAGCATAATTGCACATTATAAAGGGACCAAAAAGAAAAATTGAAGCAAAATAGTCCAGATTTTTATTTCTGTAAAGGAGCTTTTAACAAGCTAAGAAAGAACTATGAGTCTGCAGAGCTTAGTTGAAAGGCCATTAGCATTACCTCAGCGAAATTACAACAACGCAGATTATGGGGGTGGTGGTGGTCAGAATAGTATCTGAATAAAATAAGATCTCACGCTCTCAGGAAAAAAAAAGGCAAAAAGGCAACACACACTCAGATAAATAACTCTTAAGGTCAAAAGACTGAACATGGAGGAAAGATTTAAAATCTTATGTAAAGCTTCCCAGGAGAAGTTGAATAATCCAATGAAAGGCTAGATAGCTTTTAAAACAGAAGTGCTATACTGTGAAAACTCACTCTCCAAATATTCCTGTATGTTGTGACTATGAAATATTTACAAAACTTAACATTTATATTTAAGTATTTTCTGGTATTAATAACACTACCAGAATCAGCACATTCTAAAACCAAATTTCGAGGTTGTTTGTGAATATCCTGGTAAAGCAAACTGCTGCAAAAAAGTAAGAAACTGCCTTTTATCACTAACTGTGGTGCAGTCACAATGCTTCATCCTTTCTTACAACTGTCCATTACAAAAGGATGATGATATTCTCTAGTAACTATAACTGAGCACATTGATCAAATTTGGAAAGAAAGGAGCATGATACCGTATGAACACAACCACCCCAGAAGAGGAAACAAGGTTATAATCTGCCATGTTTTTGTGATGCCACTGTTGAAAGCAGAATACGATACACACTTTTTGTTCTACTTTGTCAGTAAAAGTCTAGATAGGAAAAATTACTTGGTTGGCAGATGTACAAAATTAGACACTATTTCAGCTCTTTTTTTTGTTTGTTTTGAGCCATTTGGTTGTGATTCAATCCATCTGCCTGAAATGCTGTTTGTCCACCTGATTCAATCCATCTGCCTGAAATGCTGGTTGTCCACCTGAATGTCAGCGCAGACAAAGTGATGAAGTAAGGTCCAGCTCAGAAGCAAGATTCAGATCCATGCAGCCCAGGCAAAGTTTTAAAAACTTTATTGGTTCCTTGTTTTAATCAGTAAAAGTAGGTACCTGGACCAATTATCAGAACAGAAAGATTTAATTTTTTTTAACCTTAAATCTTAACCTTAAAGAGGAAAGACAAGTGAACTAAATTTTAAATAACAACTTTTGAAATTGGTTAACTAAGTAGATATTGCCACTTCAAAGAAAGTTTAATAAGTTTATCAAAAGACAACAGATTTAGAAATCAATCTGAAGGTAAGATAGCACTGCTTCAAAATCCTTACCAGCCTAAGCAAGAAAGTCAAACTGGGGAAACCACTTTACAAGACACTTTTCAAAGTGGAATGGTAGAGGAGAGAAAATCAGAGTAATAGGAACGGGTGCTTTACTGCAAAACTCTAGGAGCACCAAGTACTTGAAAGCTTTGGGGTATCTGCAAACTATTTCTTAGACTGAAATTATAACAGCAAAATATATACTATTAACACACCACTTAAGGATTTGTTCTTATACTTGAGATCAACAAAAAAATCTTCAGAATTTTGGGGTGGTTTTTTTATTAGCCTAAGGGCGTAAGTAGTGTCCAAGAACAAACACATATTTTTAAAGTGTTGAAGTTCATAATTTTCTGAGACATAGTTTTCCTGAATTTCTTTAATTTTCAAGATACTCAGGAAAAACGTTAATTGGATATATTCTTTAAACATATTAGTCAATGTAGTCTTTTGTAATGCATTTTTTTTAATTACACCTCAGCAAACAGTTTCCTTGAACTTTATCATATTTGAAAAGACAGCTAGAAGTAAATGTTCATATTTATTACAAATGAAAGCTACTGGAAGAGTGACTTTATTAAGAAATCAGAAGATATTATCAGCAAGGATGTAGGAACAACAGGAAAAAGATATTTCTCCTGGAAGAAGAGTGAGTATGACATGGAGAACTCCCAGGGAAGCTTTTCTGTCTGCTCCCCCTCCTTTTTTTTTAAAAAAAAAAAAAAAACAAAAAAAAAAAAACAAAAAAACACCAAACTAAAACACATTTCTTTTTGCAGTACCTCTTGAAGGTTACTGGACTGTCAAATGGGATATTGTCAATGGACGTGGCATTGGATATTGTGCCAGACCCATTCAAGAAAATCAGAGCGCAATGTACCTCTATGGACTTCCATCTCTGAGTGGACAAAATATCAGCCCAACAGGCTGAGCAGAATGTAGGCAGAACTGGAATGATTTGTTTGGGAAAAAGAGGTTTAGATTAACTATACCTAATGTACCAAAAAAAGAAAAAAAAAATAATTAAAATAGCCAATACTCACATCAGAGTTAAAGCGAAGCTGGCAGACGTTACAGGAAATGACTTGTTTCTTCTTTGGGGGAATGGAGACTCCAAATGTATGGTTTATGACTGCTTTTTGCACAGGATCCATCTGGAGAACAAACAATAACCAATTTACAACTTTTCAGGGCAATATACAGTACAGAAGAAAAAATAAAAAAATAACACTGCCTGCTGGAAGCTTTTTCTTTCAATTTCTTTTTTGAGATAAACAGGAGCAAATAAAAATTTCAGCCCTCATAATAATTAGATTTAACACAGCTTAGGGAATTGGTAGCATGCCAGAGTTTACGAAGAAAAGGCAGCTCCATTGTTGCTGTCATCCCCAGGCTACTAAATAGTTCTTTCGCCACCCCTTCACATCCTCCATGCTGCAGGGCCCCACCATGTGTCTGAATTGCAAAGAGCTCCCTGAAGGCCTTCCCTTATCACCTGCTGATCCAACAGACACATTACAAGAAGGCATTTTTGCCCATTAACAAATCATTGTCATTTATCTCTACTTGTTTTTCTATTCAGTGATAAATACTAGCACTTATTTGGAAAATACTCTCTCCTGGAGACCTCTTCATGAAAGGAGGTCCTTTGCAGGCTCCATTAAAAACACCACTTGCTGGGAAGAAAGGTTGCAATCCCCAAACATTTCCATGCAGAACTGATGAGTGACAGAGCCCATGGGAAGTCTGGAGGAGCACGCAGGGTGTGTTTGCACCAGGAAAGGGTACTGAAGTTACACTTCATAAAATGTTTTAATACTGTGAAAAATGTGAGATACATGTAGCACTGAATACACAATCCTAAACTTGACTGAACATTTTCAGGAACTGGGAACTGATTACATCTTTGCTAAATACCACGACTCCTGTTGGTCACCAGTTTAGAATATCCTCCAGATTGCAGAGAACTCTGTTACTGCTGCAGGAGCTGGGGAATGGCACTGGATGTTAAGGAAACAGAGTTTATAACTGCTGCTGCATGGAGATCTCAATTGCATAATATGTTGTTTTTCCTGATGTGACATGGATACAGATTAAAATTAATTTCCTAGTGCAAAAAGATTCAAACATGTTTTTCTAATTCAAATAAAACAGAATATCTGGTCTGATCTCACAGCTGATCCTGCTCTGAGCAGGAGTTTGGACCAGATGACCTCTGAGGTCCCTTTCAACACAAATTATCCTATGAGCATCTGTGCACGTGTGGTCTTCCATCTATATTTAAGATGAGAAACGGATTCTGAAGAGGAGGAGGAGGCAACAAATGGCAGTATACCAGAAAAGATAAGTGCTCATTTCCTAACTTTGTTTTTAAACCAGCTCAGGAGAAAACAGTTCAATTTGTTAGAAAGTTATATTTTTCTGAAGCTTGCTTTGCAGTCACAGTGATGTTTTTTTTCCTTTACAGTACTATTTGAAGAAACCAAACCTGGCTGTTTGATCTTGAATGGTACACATCACATGCTTGATACTAAGCCGACTTACAAAAGGAAGAGAGAAAAGTTGAAGTTACTGATTCATCAGTTAAAGAACTGTAACAGTAAATTAGCTGCTTCCAGACTTTCTAAACCTGAGGATAAAGACTGTAATTTTCCCTTAGTATACATTTAAGCTTCCAGAGAAGCCTGCACTAATGAGGATTTTCTTTGCATATATGCACATGCACAAAACACAAATTCAAGAAAAACCTATTGCATTGTATCTGCCTAAGAAGACATTCCCTGATAATCTATTATCTAACATTAAACACGTACTTAACAATTTTTTTGGACTATGGCTATATAGGTTTCTTGCTATATTCCTCAAACCAAATGCATAGTTTTGTAAATGTCATTGCTAACAGACTTTCTGGAGAGATGATATAATTTTTATCAGTTTTTGCCATTAAATACTGTATTTCATTGCCATAGGGGTATCCATACTAAGACAATTACAGAAGTAAAAACACCTCATCTAGAACAAACTACTGAATTATAAAATGACACAATGTTGTTACAATGAATGTGCTAAAGTCTAAAAAAACCTAAAATAAATATCCTTATTTCCTGTTTCCTCTGTGTTTAGAATATAGTGACAGTCCTAAGCTTAAAAGCTTAAACTATAACAAAAAAACCCCAAACCTGTTTCTGACTTGTACCATTTATTGCATCACCCTGCAGAATATATCACAATTATACAGGCAGATTAAGAGTTTTTTAAGCATCCATTTTATAATAGATATGCCAGTCAATATATATTATTACGTTTATAATATGTACTAAAAGATTGTTGTATCATTACGGAATAGTGCTTTTTTTTTTTTTCTTAAATGGAAGAAATGTGTTGCTTTTCAACTTTACTACTAATTGTTAGATCAGGTAATCTAGAACAAAAGAGTAATGCTGCAAAGTACCTCAACCATTTGAAGTGTCTGACCGGTGAAAAGAAACAGCAAAAATACCCACTAGCGTCTGCAGTCCCGTTTAAAAAAATAAGGGAAAAAGAAGCAGTGATCAATGATTCCTCTGTGCATTCCAGATAATCCACAGCACTAGCGTCAGGCAATGCAGTTCAAAGCCATACAATGCAGACTACGCACAAAGTCCCAGTTTCAAACAGATGTAGCAGCACAAGGACAAAACCTATACAAATACAGCTCACGCTGCCTCCAGAAAGTACCACTTGGGATCTCCAGGGGAACGGTTAATGATCCATCCTAAACCAGAACCCCGCATGTAGTCTGGTCATGATTAGAATTCAAGAAGTGCAACATTAACAATTAATAGGTTTCAAATATATCAGAAACTGGGGTAGATTACAGCATGCTGGAAAAATAAAATAGTATCTCTCTGTTAGAAGACTAATGCTGCAGGGTAAACTGATCTCAGATCACTACATAAAATTATCCTCTTCATTGCAGGGAGGGAAGGAGGGAGCAGGAAAGAGAGAGAGAGTAATTTGTTGAGGTATATATTAGGAAATGACACAGCATATTCTGCCCAGTCGGGAGCACCAGTACTTAAAAAACAGTTCTATAAACCAAAATAATAACAGAACCTAACAGCTATCACAAATACAAACAAAAATCTGCATTACGCTGTTTATGCTACAGGAGAAATTAATAAAGCAAGTGCTCTAGTATCCATAACTAAGTTTAACAACCTTTTAGTTTTGTTCTCCTAGGATTAACAGTAAGGATTAATAGCAAGGATTAACAGAATCAGGACAGGTTTCAGCAGCAATCTACTACTACTACAGCTATTTCCGAATTTCAGAACATGCAAACACGAGAAATACTCTACAACTACTGAGATGATTGACAATGACTTTCAAAGCACTTAAAAAAATGCAAATGTAGCAACAGATAGGGCAAAAGCATAGAAGAACTGCTAAACTCTACTGAAGCCTCATCTAGCCTATCATTTTAACCCCCAAAACAATCATATGTAGTTATCAAGAGAAGAACTGGAGCAGCACAAACATACATTGTATTTCCCCCAACTATTTTCACAAGGTTCACTTATTTTTCCACCAAAAATCTTCCAGAGCCAGGTGTTTTCTGTGTATTTGGTAAATCCCAGTGATTTTCCCTTGCATAGTCACCCCTTGAACTGATGTAAAACAGTTCGCACTCTTTGCGTTGAGTTCCAACACCTACAATCTTCTGTGTCAAGAAACAATTCTTTTTATTTAAACATAGCTCCACGCAACTCAATTTTATAAGACCTGTACCACATCCCAAGTTATCCCTGTGCCATTCAGTCATTCTGTGCATAGAAACCATTCCATTCCTTTCAGCATCCTTGTTTCCCTTCTCAATTCTACCACAATTTAACAAATTCAATCAAATATTTTGAAGATATGGACAGGAACCATATACAATACTCAGGGTAGATCAGTACTGAACTCCGAGCTGATGTTTTCATGGAATCACTATTATAAACCTGAGATCTCACCCCCAAGTGCTAATGCTAATGGCTGAATTCATAGCACATTACTTTCTTCGTGAAGTTCTAAGAGGTCTTCCTTGCGTGTGCATCACTTTACATTTAGCTAGATGGAACTTCACCAACCATTTATTGTCTGGCTTCTCAGTCTCATTAAGGTCTTTCACAATGTTTTGGTCTTTCTTTGTCCTCACTGCCTTGGAGAACTTCACCATTATCAAACTTCCTCAGCTCACTTAACTCACAGATATATTTTTGGCATGCAAGGATCCTCTTATACCAATTCAGTTTTCTTAAAAATCTTTGTCAAGGGATTTTGTGAAAACCCTTTTAGTAATTCAAAATATGTCAATTAAAACATCCTTATTCACATGTTTGTTGACACCTACAAAGATTTATCTTTAAAAAGGAATTATGTTGATACTTTACAGGCTGTTTACAGTATGAAGTGTCCTCTGATACTATTCTTATTGAGGTTTCTATTAATTTGTCTGGCAAAAATATGTCACCCAAAAGTTTACATTCTCCATGGAACGGGTCCTAAAAACTTGCATCACATTTGCCACCTTTCAGTCCTCAGGTAGAAAAGCATGCTTTTTATGAGCTGTTACACATTATCATCAGTAATTCTACAATTTCATCCTTGAATTATCTTATAATTCTTGCTACCAAAAACTCTCCCTGCCCTGCTGTGTGTCATGGTAGCACAGATTCTTCTGGTGCCTTCTGGGAACTGAACCAGACTACTAAGAGACAGCAAAGGAAGCATAAGAAGGAGAAAAAAAAATTGAGCAAGTGCATCAGGATAACTCCTTCAGTGAAACTGAAGTTCTGGTTATTTTAAAATATCCCTTTACACAAGCGGACAGTACAAACACCAATTTGTGAGTCTCAGAAACAAATTGCACTGATCCTATCAAGAGGTAAATTGCTGCAAACAGAAAGGTTAGGTATAATTTCTAAGTCTTTTGTTTAAATGAGGTGACACTACATTGCAAGAAAAGCTGCTTTTTGTGATGTTGGAAATCCAGAATATTTGTATTAGTTTTTGCTCAGGTGCAATCTCCAGTTTAAAAGTTTGGATAAACCCAGATGCTTATCTGACTTGAAGCTTTTGGTGCTTGCCTAGTATCCATGGCTAAATTGCTGGTTACACATTTGAGCTAGTG